ATGCAGGGTCTACACAATACTCATGTACACATAAAACGAGCGGTAGATTGGCGAGCGCGATGCTGGGTCTAGAGCTAGGCTGAAGATTATATAAGCTGGTGAGTTATTACCCCATGCATGACGTTATTCCTGAGTAAACCCTCTCGAACGGAAGAGAAGATGGAGGGAACAGGCGGCTCGATCAGAACGGATGGTGGCCCCTACATCGCTAACCTATGGTATCACGATGCCTGGGGACACTCCCGGCAACAGCGAGATCTACTGTTCCTACACTCGTGAATCAAGCCAAGAGGTTATACCGCATTTCTGACTGCATTTAAATATTAAAGGTCGCACGTCTCGGACAAACATCATGTTCTCTACGACTCAATCCATCAACTTCCTGTCACATGACATGTAGCTAGAGTATCGACAGCGTGGTACGTACGATTCGCGACAGCTACCTAGGTGTAGGCTTTGATAAAGGCCTAATAATCATACGGGATGCGCACTGATACTTCTAGGCCATTGTTAAACAATGTACACGATCAGCTTTTCCAAATCCGATTACGTGAACATGTGTACTATTTATGAGTCTTCCCAAGAGAACTGTAGGTTTTACTTGCTCAATATTGCTTCTCTAGTACATCTATCATTTCGCAATGTCTTGAATCACTTCTTCAACTCGTACTCATTAAGATTCGGACATTTCCACGCTTCCTACACAACATTGCAACCCGTACAAGAAGAGGACCAAGGAAATTCCAAGGTACACTTGTACCACTACTTCTTCCCAGACACTCAGGGGTTCGCACTTGGCCCCAGCCTGTTATGACTCAGCAACCTACGCAAACTCTTCACCTCCGTAGTCACATCGACACGCCAACCTCGCGCCCAAGAACGGTCGAGAGGGTCAGTAGACCCTAGCAACTTCAACGTCTTAGGCGGTACCGGGCAAATGTCTTATTCGAAAGCCTAGAAAGCCGTTGCGCAACGTTGCGGCTCCCTCCGCCTCTACTTGCCAAGCCAGATGGAGCCGCAACCGTCGTGGTTTACGATGACGACGACTCGGACGTGAGATGGCAGTCGCCATGCTGGGGACTTCCGTCAGTGGGTGGATAATCGAACGGGAGATGGCATTTGCCATAAACGTCTCTCCATGACTTGCTGTAACGAAGATCCTTATTCCCTTTTCGTGTCGATCTCGCCTATACTTTCTAGTGATGACATACAGACGGGGCGGCAGTACGGCCTCTTGACCCGTTCGGCTCGAGGAGGACTGCGTATATTCCTGCTCGCAATGCAATACGGGTACAAGACTACGAATAGAAGAGTATGCGATTCGGTCATAACAAACAGAAAGCGATTGCACGACCACACACCTTTTGGAAATCTATGTGTCTTGTGCGAGGTTGCCATATTGTCTCACTGTGGTGGACGCAGATGCGTTGATCATCATGGGGGAGGGGCGTAGGGCAATCGCAATGAAGCAGCCGAAGATCGCAATCCGCAGCACAGTTGGGCAGAGGAAGAAGGTTTACCCTTGGAAGACGCGCATTCGTGTCCATGGAGACTGATCAGCAAAGGACCCGCAGGCTAAGCGGTCAAAGCTTGTCCGGGTATGCACCGCCTCATGGCCCTGCGTGTCTTGCAAAAACCCGAAGGCTTGAGTGTGGCTCAAGACCATTCAGGAGAGGCTCTGCACCAAAGTGAAAGTTGGGGTAAATACGTGAGAATGTGAATTGAGGATAGGTATAGGAGACAATTCCCTGCAGACGCTGACAAACAAGCCGGGCGACTCGGGTTACAAGCAACCGAATCCGGGGTACAAAGACACGACACGCCAAGTAGGTCAAACTGTGCCGTCACTCGTCGACATCAACTCTCAGCCGTGCTACCGTCGCAATACATGTAGTCATTCCACCTCGCAACTTCAGAGGCTTACTTCTGCATCATGAGCTGGACGAACTCGTTGTCTGGATTGTGTTAGAGCGACACGTGTGATGGCAGCAAACAGGACGTACAGTCAATTCGGCCGTCGCCGTCCTGGTCGGCCTCCCGGATCATCTCGTCAACCTCGTCATCGGTCAATTTCTCGCCGATAGAAGTCATGACGTGGCGCAGCTCGGCGGCGGAGATGAAGCCGTTGTTGTCGCGGTCGAAGACCTTGAAGGCCTCCCGGATCTCCTCCTCGGAGTCGGTGTCCTTCATCTTGCGGGCCATCATGGTCAGGAATTCTGCACGAGGTTAGAGCGGGCGTGTGGCAGAAGTGGGAGGGAGAGGTGCCTGGGAAGTCAATGGTGCCGTTGTTGTCGGCATCCACCTCGTTGATCATGTCCTGGAGCTCAGACTCGCTGGGATTTTGGCCGAGCGAGCGCATGACGGTGCCCAGCTCCTTGGTGGTGATTTGGCCTGTGAGGCATCATCGTCAGCGGGGTCAAACTCGGGTGTCTAGTGCGGAGTGCGGTTGCGTGGGCAGGAACGAGGGCGCTCCCAGGGGGGCAAGGTGTGGGTGGTGCAGGCGACGGAGAGTACTGACCATCGCCGTCCTTGTCCTGCATCGCAAGGTGGTTAGCTGGTGTTGGTGGGCAGGCAGGGCTGGGCGGCCACTTACAAACAGAGAGAAGGCCTCCTTGAACTCGGAGACCTGCTCCTCGGTGAGAGAATCGGCCTAGAGGGCAGTGTTAGCAATGCGCCGGGCTGGGGGCGGGCGTGCGGTCGTCGTGTTTTGCAGGGCGGGGTATGTGCGAGGGCGCGCGGGCGGGGCGGGGCTACACACCATGTTGTCTCTGGGTGGTGGGTGGTGGGTGCGAGGGTGAAGGGTGCTGGGCTGCTGGGCGACGATGGGCTGGGGCGGTGGATAGAGCAGAGGCGCAGGTGTGGTGTGAAGGAGGGTCCCGTAGTGTTTGCGGCTGGGCAAGATGGGCTGGAGTGGAGCAGGCTGTCAGACGGCCGTCTGTTGGGGAGCTGGCCTAGCGTCGCCCAGAGCGGGAAGGCGGCTCCCTCGCCGGCGCACCGCACCTCAGCCGCCGACACGCCTGCGAAGCGGCCGTCACTCACAGTCTGGCCGTCCTCTCAGGCTGACCCTCGCCAGCCCAGCATGTGGCGGGACCGAACCAACCTCTTCATATCCTACCGCCAGTCCTACGCCCACCACCCCCAGCAGAAGACGCGCCATGCCCGCCCGCGCTCCAATGGCCTGGGCGACAGCACGCGCGTGTCCGAGGAGCGCCAGGGCCTCATGTCCAGCGGCGCCTACCACGACGACGGCGACGCCGTGATTGAGATGGACCTGCTGCCTCCGCGCTGGCTCGACGTGCAGGACGAAATCACCCAGCACCTCGCCGACATCGCCACGCAGACACGCAAGCTCGACCAGCTGCACCAGAAGCACGTGCTGCCTGGCTTCGATGACGAAGACGTCAAGAGGCGCGAGGAGCGCGACATTGAGCATCTCACCCAGGCCATCACGCGCCTCTTCCAAAAGTGCCAGCAAGCCCTCAAGCGCATCGACGCCATGGTCCGCGACGCAAAACAGCAGGGCAGCATCGCCCAGGGCGAAGACGTCATGGCCCAGAACCTCAAAATCGCACTGGCAACCCGCGTCGGCCATGTCAGTGCCATGTTCCGCAAGAAGCAGGCTGCCTACCTCAAGAGTGAGACAACCCCCGCCTCGCAGCCCTGGCTATGCTAACAGTCTGTCGAGAACTACGCGACCTTGGCGGCTTCACCTCGCCCTTCCGCGTTGCAACACCCGTCCAAAACCCCTACAACGACCCTGCCTTGCAAGAGTCGGACGCCGATCGCTCCTTCTCCCAGTCCACTCTCCTCCAGACAAAGCAACAGCGCATGCGCCACGACCCCAATCAAGCAATCATTGCTCAGCGCGAGCGCGAAATCGAAGACATCGCCCAAGGCATCATCGAGCTAGCAAACATCTTCCAAGAGCTGCAGACCATGGTCATCGATCAGGGCAGCATGCTCGATCGCATAGATTACAATGTAGAGAACATGTCGCGAGACGTCAAAGAAGCCGACAAGGAGCTCAACGTCGCCTCTGGATACCAGAAGCGCACCATCAAGAGGAAGATTATGCTACTGCTAGCCATCTTGATCGCAGCTGTTTTCATACTACTGTCGCTCAAATTGGGCAGGAAAGGAGCAAATAATACGCCCGCCGCTCCACAAGTACCTGACGTTCCGCCCGCCATGGCCATGGCAATGGGATACAGACGACAATCAACAAGCACGCGCACAAGTCGCATATGGCATCGCAGGAGGCGGCGCTTGTGGCAGGGGACGAGAAGCGACCCACTAGATAAATACATGTCAAGCTGAGCTCTCCCATATACTATTTCCAATCATCTTCTCACTTCACATCAGACTACACGCTCAACAGCTACCTCTACTTCCAAGTAATCAGGCATCAGATTTGCTGCAGGATAGAGTGCAGCGGTGGGCGAGGGCGGCGTAAGCATCGCTATCGGGGTGGCGCAGGCGGGTGCAACGGTGAGCCCCACAGCTGCATGGGCGTTGGGTCAGAACCAGACTGCGGTTTAGGCACCACCATGTCAGACTGCACAATGCAAGGCCCCATAGTCTCAGAACTCAAAAGTGTAAGTCGCGTAGATTCAACTCGGTGCGTGTTGCGAGAGTGGACGTAAATAGCCAATAATGGTGGTACCTCGGCTCGGTTGCTCTTCTACGCCAAGGTCGTGAATTCAACTCGTGCTATTAAACGTGCATTCCTGGGAAGGACTTTTATATCATTACCAATTGACGTCTCTGTGTTCTCTGGCTCAGCTGATGAAGCAACCTGCTCGCTCTATGGCCGTATCATTTCTAGCAAATCGTACGTGAATTACGAGGAAGCGTGTTCTTTCGAGGCTGTGTTTCGAAGACCTGCTCTAGAGAAGGTCGTCGCGTCGTTGACAATTAGCTAACAAGACGCAATGTAGTATACATCTCTGCCTAGGTGTCTATATACCTCATCATACCAGCTTCCTTGTTCACACGCAGCAATGGAGCCATCAAGCTCTCCACCCGTTGCAGACATGGTAACACCGCTATCCGATTTTCAAAAGATAGGTCACAACACATATCTCTGGACATCATCATCATACCTATCCCAACTCGCAGAGCAAACTCCACTCATCCTACTCTTCACTTGGAACGCTGCGGCCGCAAAGCACATCGCCAAATACACACTTGCCTACCAGAAGCTTTTCCCAACATCCCGCATCCTGCTGGTACGATGCTTCACCCCAGACATGTTCCGCCGTACCTCGTCCTACGCCACTTTGCTCGAGCCAACAACAGATCTTGTAGCCGAACATACCGCTTCAGGAGGACGCATCCTTGTCCATAGTTTCTCAAACGGCGGCGGGAATCAAGTCAATGAATTTGCAAAAGCATGGAAGAAGAAGTATGGAACAGTGCTACCAATGCAAGCACAGATTCTCGATTCCAGTCCGACCAAAGGCCCGTGGATGCAGAGCCATGCAGCCATTTCCGCGTCCCTTCCCAGAAACACGTTTTGGGGTTGGTTTGGTGGGGCGCTGGTTCATCTTCTCCTTGTCCTCACATTTATTGCAGACAAGACTACGGGAAGGGAGAATATGATGGTAGTTCTCTGCCGAGAACTGAACGATGAATCGGTGTTTGATACCAATGTACCGCGTCTGTATTTGTATAGTCGTTCGGATACGATGGTTCGGTTTGAGGAGGCAGATGAGCACGCTGATCTTGCCAAGGCAAAGGGATGGGATGTGACAAAGGTGCAGTTTGAGAAAAGTCCGCACTGTGGTCATATCAGGGAGGACGAGAACAAATATTGGGCAGCGGTTATGGAAGCTTGGAAGAAGGGGCCGAAGAGTGGTAACATGTCTACTTGATCTAGATACCAGCGTAACGCAGTCCTCATCTTCCTTGTGTTTATTCTAAGCGGAATCTGGTATGTTGCGTCTTGGTACGTCTACAATCGAGCTGCCACCAGACTCAGATATATGTTCCACAGTAAACCGCAGAAGCTGAGGAAGACAATACGACGCTCGACAGGGATGAAGGTGGTGCTAAAGAAGTTGGCAATCGGCCAGACCTTGTACGAATCGAAGATGAGACCGAAGAGCTCCTGTTTTAAGTATTAGCACTGCACACAGCAGCCCTTCGGCAGAGGGCCTACTTACGTTTCTGAAGTCCTGCCCAATCATCGCAACTGTCTTGCCCTTCATGAGACCAATCAGAATCAGGAACATTGACTGGTTCAGTAGCGCGCCCATGGTTATGCACTGTATCTCGCGAGTAAGCTTTAATCCGTCACCACAATTGGAGCATAGGCCACTCACGTCCGTAAACCACTTCTTGAAAATATTCCACCAGTTCCTCACTCTAACCTCTTCTTCCACAATGCCCTTTCCTTCTCCATCACCTCTCAGCATTATGCCCTTCTCCTCTTCACCTTCGCCTACAGCCCTTGTTTGCTTGACGGTCTTCCAGCCCGGAAACGCGCGCTCGAGCCAATTCTGCCAGTGGTAGTTGATGGGCGCGGTGAGTACGACCATGATGGCGAACTGGGTAAAGAGGACGCGGTCGAAGACGAAGGGCTTAGATTCGTTCCATGCTTTGAGGCGTTGCGCGATGACGTTGCTGCATGAGTCTATGGCGAGAGCGGAAAGACAGGCTACCGCGATGGGAGGTAGCTTCATCGTGGCGAAGAAGGTATCTTGGAACGCGAGGAAAGCCGGCGGAGAGTCGCTGTCTAGGTAGTTGATGAGGATGGTGGGGATCAGGTCGCAGGACCGATTGCGAGATGCAGATCAGCGAGGCCAAGTAAGCATCGCAGTACGCGGGCGTTTCGGCGAGGCGGTCACGGACGGTTTCGTAGCAGGGTGGTTGTAGTGGTGGAAAACCAACAAAAGTCAATCGGAGTGCGGCATGGCCATCTGCTTCGGCTGCGCCGTTGCAATGCCACTCCACATTGGTTGGTGTTGCTACCTACTGCGCTTGTCGGGGCATTGGCGCTTGAATCAGACGGTGGCTTGATACGCGTCACAAATGACTCGGCAGCACGCTTATCGCTCTCTCAGCCTTTACGAGGCCTTTGCCGCGGTTTTGTCACTTACTTAACTTCTCGATTTCCTGGTAGGAGAGGACCTGGAGCTTCATACCTCCCAATATTAAGCCGCGCACGAGTGGCCGAGTTGTGGCAGCAGCCCACGGAGCCCTGGACAGGCTGCTTCTTGACAAATTTTGGTGGCGTACACGCTGCACACCTATGACAACGCTCGGCCGAACAGGAGGCACATGAAATCTGCAGAGATCGTAAATGAGGCAGGACAACATAAGCCAACAGTTTTGGAATAAGGAGCCGAGATGAATTGGAATACCTAACACATCTCGCCTTTTACGCTTGATAGGTTAAGCAAATACCAGACATTAACGAGTTCATGATCGCATCCAGAGTAGCCTCATGCAGTCCCTGAATCTATTGCAATCTCTAAAGCAATGGGCCGTTATGAATTACAGGCTGTGATAGACAATATTGTGTATGGGGTGACAACAAGCTGTTGATGTGTAATTGAGTCTGTATCTACACACGCCCGCATGCCCCGCAAAAAAATCGCAATGTGAGAGAATACACTCCAGGCTAAAAGCTTGTCTTGTCCAATAAAACCAAAAGAAGAATTAACAGATAGAGCGAACTATGCAGAGAGCTACTTGCAAGCACAACCTGTTGCATGTATACCTTCTTGACTCGAATCTTGGCGTAAGTAGCCAGGGTTCAACAATAGTTTGTATATAGATCGCAAGGGGAAGACCTGAAATGTATGAATAAAGTAGAAGACATCAAGTCTGTTCAAGAACCCAAATCACATGCAATTTAGGCTTCCAAGCAGTAACTAAATAGCCACGTGTCAGAGCAAGAACGCGATTGCGTAGAATCCAAATAGTACTCCGAAACCGAAACTCTTTTCAACCCGCAACGTAATCTCATATTACTCTACTGTTTCTTTTTCTTCTCGTTTCTGTTGGTGTTCACTCGTGGCACTCCCCGGCTAGAACCGTGCGCATGGAACAAGCCGACCAAACTCCGTTTAAATCCACCAACGATGACATAGCGCTATACATCATCATTGCTCAGATAACGTCACCGCATAACCAGCTCACCAGTTAACATGCTAAACAGATCTGTAGTCACGTTCGAAAACAAAGCGTAATGTGGGGTTCGATCTGTGTGCATGAACTGGAGATCTACCGAGGCTCAGTAATCGAAGGTGGGTAGACGGCATCGGCGAGCGTGTTGCGCCGTCGTACACCGGTGCTGTCTCTTCTTTCGTTAGTTAGGTACAAGCCATCGTTTTTGCCTCACATCTGTGTCTGTACTCTGCTCCCAAGAAACAACATCTTTCAAGAATTACCACCATCATGTCAAACAAAGCAGCATGGATCCCAGAAGCAAAGGGCCAGCTCCAGGTCAAGGAAGCTCCCATGCCAAAGGCAGGCAAGGGCGAGGTTGTTATTAAGAACCACGCCGTTGCCGTTAACCCCGTAGATTGTGAGTATCTGCATTTTCTAGTAGGAATGAGTTTGCTAATTAGAGCAGGGAAAATCCAGGACTACGGCATCTTCCTGCAAAAGTATCCCAACGTCTGTGGTACTGACGTCGCTGGTGAGGTGCACGAAGTTGGCGAGGGCGTTACACACGTTACCAAGGGCGACCGGGTGCTAGGGTTCGTCTTCCGCCTTCAACCTTGAGAGCTTCCGCGGGGCTGTGAACTAACAGCATGGTACAGACACGCGTTCTCACTCGTGACTAACGACCCCGCGCACGGTGGATTTCAGCTCTACACTGCTTGCAACGCGCTCGTCGTATCGAAGATTCCATCGCACATGACGTTCGCCGAGGCCTCGGTGCTACCTCTTGCCGTCTCCACTGCCGCCGCATGCCTCTTCAAGAAGGAGACCCTCGCGTTACCCTTGCCATCCTCCAACCCCTCTTCTACGGGCAAATCAGTGTTGGTATGGGGCGGCTCGAGCAGCGTTGGAGCGACTGCAATTCAGCTAGCCGCGGGTGCCGGTGTAAAGGTCGTCAGCGTAGCGAGCAAGCACAACCTAGAGAAGCTCAAAGGCCTGGGCGCAACAGCAGCCTTTGACTACAAGGACCCCAAGGTCGCCCACGACATCATCGCTGCTCTCGAAGGCACGGAATTTGCGGGTGTTTGTGACGCCATTGGTACACCGGATGCTGCGGCTGCCTGGGCACCAGTATACGAGAAGCTCGGTGGACGTTATGGCTCTGTGCTGCCTGATGCAGAGGGCCTTCCAAAAGGTATCGAGGGCACAAGCGTCTTCGGTCCAAGTGTAGCGCTGGCGGACAAGTACGTCGGTGACGTTGTCTGGGCTCGGTGGGTGCCAGAGGCGCTGGAAAGGGGTACACTAAAAGCTGTGTAAGTATCTATGTACCAAGTGCGTGTGAGGCATACACTGACTTCGTGCACGTACCTTTAGCCCAGAACCACTGGTAGTTGGAAAGGGACTCGACGCTGTGGCGGAGGGCTACAAGAAGCAGAAGGAGGGTGTCAGCTTTCGCAAGGTTGTGATTGAGTTGTGAGCCCTATCGGAACACTAGCCCACACAACGAACATGTGATAACAACATGTCGAAACTGACGCGGGGCATAGCTCTGAGTGATTGTGTCCAGGCAGTTCCTCTAGAAGCCACGTCCGGCATTACAAGCACATGCATGCGCTGAACATCAACAAGTTTCTGCGGCCCCGGCGAAACATAACCCCGGTCGGGTCCACTTAAAAGTTTTTAGCTTCCTGCACTCTGCTTCAGTTCACGTGCTTCTTGTTCTTCTTCTTCTGCAGCTGCAAGCGTATCCAGCGCTCGCCCCTGTGTCGCATGCTCATTGACACCAGTTTCTCTGCTTTGAGCACTTGCTCTTGTAAGTACTACTGCTCTCCCAACTTCCCATCCCTGCACCATGATGAAAAGCATTCCACATTCGCAGTTTCCACGCTAGCCATCAATCGAACCTACTTTAGATGGTCAATGAGCGCGAATACCTTCCTTGGATGTCTGATTTGCATTTCAACCTCACATTACACTTCTGCTTGTTTTCGACAGCTTTCGCTGACTCTTAACAGGCCACCTAGACTCCGCCATCGTTTAGCATTCATGCTGCTATGACCAACATGTATGCAGCTCTGTACGTTACCCAATTAGCAGTGCTCACTACACGATCGTACATAGTTGGAGTTTTGACTAGTTCATTCAATACTCATATACAATTAACACCAAGAATACCTATACTTTGCCACTTTCTCTTGATGGTGTTCCACCATACTAATGCACATTGTCTGCCAGAGCTTCGTTCCATCTTTGCTGGGGTATAACAGTTGCTTCGCACTACAAGCTCGATCGCTTAGAGCATGAAGAAGGTGAACAGACCCGTCATACCCGCGAACACAGCGCTGCCAGCGAGATGGGACGCAGCACCTGTTGCTGAAGAAGGTGAAGGTGACTCGGATGTTGAAGTACCGTTTTCGTTGAGCTTACCACCAGTGCCGGCGGTTGATGTAGGCGATACGTTTTCGGTGGCCTTCTCAGAAGCGTTCTTGAATGCATCAAGAGTGTTGGGACCAGACGCCCTAGACAATGTCAGTGAAAGCAAGCGACTACAAGATAAGCGGAAAACTTACGGGGGGTTGATAACACCGACCATGCCATTCTGGCAATGCATGCCCTGAGAGCAGTAAAACCAGACGGGAGCTGAAGCATTCTTGACCTCATAGGTGAAGGTTGTGCTGGCGACGCTCTCCATATCAGATGTCGGAACAAAACCGGAGAAGAAGCCACCGTCCATAGGCTTTAAATTTGGACGTACGAAGTCAGTGTATGTCCCACACGCAGTTCGTATATGGAGAATCTTACCTGGCAAGGGTTGGCGAAGGTAGCCTGAGCGACGGAGTGGTTCTTGGGCCAGAACGAGAAGGTGACAGTGTCGCCCTCAGCGGCCTTGAGGCTGTCTGGCTTGAAGACAAGATCGCCAGCCTTGTTACCGACAATGACCTTGTGATCCATTGCGAAGGTAGCGCTGGCCATGGCCGAAGCAGCGAAGATGGTTGAGAAATGCATTATGGTTTGTTTGTTGGTAAAGAGACTAGCTCGTTTGGGAGTTAAGAAAATGCGGGTAGAAACGAAGGTTGTCTTGGTGTGTAATTGGTAGTGAGAAGAGAAGAACGTGGACCTGCCTGCCGAGCCAAATGAGCACATTTGCGTCCATTATATAGTATATAGAGAAACAGTTGCCGCCTGTTGAGCGGATCAATCGGTATACGCATGCCATGCCATAACACCTTCGAGACTTCAGGCGTCGCGAAGGCACGCTTTCTTGACGCCTGAACGCTTGAAGCGAGATCTGGGGAAACAGGGCGGTCAACGTGTCACAATGCAGAGGTCTGCTACTGGCTATGTTTGCCATGGGCGCCTGTATTGAGCCACTTGCCGCTCGGGTATGGCTGTTTCGAGCCTGAGGCCGATCCTGTGGCTGTCCAGGAGCTAAGACCAGACCCTTATTTCCATGGCAAATGCGTTTCTGGCCAAGGGATGAAACTCGCTGTTGGTCGTTGATGGAACGCGAGATGTTTTGGAGAGCGTGCACGGAAGTCGTGCGCTATTTCCGCCCTGTCATCTCACCCGTGACATGCGTGGATCCATAGCGACTGCCGTGACAGTGGACACCTACCATCGCGATATCTGGAGCGTAGGTAGCTAACAAGCCGTTGGCTCCGCTTTGAGAAATTCTCCGTCACCCGAAAGACTAGCGCAACAAGCAACAACGTCAACAGCTTCCAGTGCTGCACTCGGCGCTGCCACACATTTTCCGAACGGCCAGATCTCATGACATACCACCGAGTTTCCTCGGCACCTTCCTCCGTTGCGCAAAGCGTGGCGACCGTTCCAAGGCTCTATCTGCACGTGGTTGCTTCGTGCCTTCGGAAGTCAAAGCGTCCACGGGCCTGGTATACCGAATGAACCGACGCTTTGTTCCGCGGCTGTGTTCCAAGGTCAAGGCTCCGCCCTCACGAGATCGCAGCTCCCAGGGAGAACATTCTGGTCGAACTTCAATCGGACAACGCTACGGTTGTATCTCGTGTCGTGAATGCCGAAATGGGGGTCTGCATGGGCGGTGAATCGACGCTTCCAAGGTTCATCTGCTGACCAAGGTAATCGTTGCTGGTGTGAGCGCTACCCTAACGGACAGCTAACTCGACGACGTCCTCCCCTGAGCAACAACAATTACTGCATCGTGTGTGACGCTCTGACGGTGGTAGTCAGATTCCGTGTTCGTCGACGTGGCTTTGGCTGCCGCCACTTCCGAGACTATACGTGCGTCGCCTTCAGACCCCGTCCGGTCACGACATCATACCTAAATCTCGTGAGATGTATCGTGCACGCGTGCCGGTGGGGTGCAGCATCGTTTTATTGATCGCTGTCCGTGGCTACTTATTATGGCACATTGAATGCAACCATCCGTATCTCCGGGCCTTTTCCTCGTCTACTGGACCGTTTATAGCTAGTGAAAGCCTCTCCCGCTGCTAGCGTGCCAAAAATATCGCAACTCTCCGCATTAATTCTCGTGTCTTTTGGCGCTATAAGCTTATCTGTGCTAACCTACACCAAACGCCGCTATTCCATGGTCATCTGCTTTGACCGCTGAAGCTAGTGCTGTCGAAATAGTAAGTCATTCCGGGATGTCGCTCGCGTTCGCGCTTGGGCACCCTGTAAAGATTGCCATTGTGACGAAAGACGAGGTGGAAGCCTCGGATCGTAGAGTGGAGGCTTCGACATGGCGGATGGTATAAATGGCAATGTACTCGCAACTGCAAGACACGCATCATCAGTAACCAGCCCTCCGACTCCCAAACCTCCATTCTCCAAGCCTCTACCCATCTACCAACAAATCATGCAGTTCTCCAGCATCACCTCAGCGGCAATCCTTGGTTTTGCCAGTCTGGCTTCGGCCATCACTGTCAGCTACGATACTGGCTACGATGACGGCAGCCGCGCCTTGACCTCGCTCGCCTGCTCGGACGGCTCCAACGGCCTCATCACAAAGTACAACTGGCAAACTCAAGCCAACGTTGCTGGTTTCCCTAAAATCGGTGGATATATGGGTGTTGCTGGATGGAACAGCCCACAGGTACGTACACTTACTACATTTCCTCATCTTCATTGTCTAACAATACATACTAGTGTGGTACATGCTACGGCGTTACCTACAACGGAAAGACCATCTACGTTCTCGCCGTCGACCATGCTGCTCAAGGCTTCAACCTCGCCAAGGCAGCCATGGACGAGCTTACAAACGGCCAGGCTGCGGCTCTGGGACGTATCGATGCCCAGTACGCTCAGGTCGCTACTAGTAACTGCGGGTTATAAGCACTGCGCTCTACTGCAAACGATGATGATTGGAGAGGGAGGATCACGAGAAACATCCGATAATGTGTATTTACAGGATTCCGGATGAGGTATTGCATAGCATAGCGTTCCTTATTTGCATGCGGTGGCGTTTGTACATACATTCCTTACTTAATTCATAGTCCATATAGGATGCAGGTCTGCTTGCCATAAAGAGAGGCGTTATTTATCTGTTGATGTAAATGTCTACCATTGCCGGCCTTAATGACGCCAGAGTCCACAAAGTCTTCACACTTTTTGTGAGCTTCTTGATCATCCTCCCTCCTCCCCTTCACTGTGCGAGTCGCAGCCATGCAGCTGCGGGGTAGGATAAGCCCAAGTTTACTCTTTTCGGCATAGCTCTTGTGAATAGTACGTGTTCAGGAGATTCTACACCTTCGCTGATGACTAACCTTTCTATACGCTCTCCTCTTCTATCTTGCGTGTATACCTAGTCGTGATCGACAAATCACAAGACCGTTGCGTATATGGAAAGTATGAGATGACGAGGAGATTGCAGGGGTGTGGAAAGTTCGGATAAGGAGATGCAACAAATGTTTGAGGTTGTTGAGAAGGCTATGGAAGGCTGGTCGTTATTACGCTTTCGGTGGACACTGGTAGAGGGGAGTTACCAGATTCGCCGGCTTTGTTATCCCAATTTCTTCTTCTCGGATCTATAGCCTTCTTAATGAAAGGCTGCAGTGATGGTGGCGGGCAATGCTAGCCTACATTGCGGAGACGGTTGCATAGATTGAATGTGCGTGACATTGGCACTGACATCTATTCATTGTTTCTATCTACTTACATGCATCCTAATTTCTCCATGAGATCTAAAGGCTTGTTGGTATATCGCTATTCGCAAAGGAGGGCCATCTACGCGATGACCAAAAGACTTTTGTTGTGGAAACGAAATGTACATGTCCCAAGAGTATCGAGGCTACGCCCGCATAGCCAAGCGCTCGTGGCCTGCTATTAGAAAAGGTTGTGTTAAAAAACCCGAGGGGCGATTTGTGATCAAGCGTCCTCGAGACAGCACTTGTTTAACGAGGTGTTGAAGCAAGTAATCGACCAAGACTGCCACTAGCGAATGATGGCTCAGGAACTGGTGACTTGGCGTAGAAGATCTCGCCTTCAATTGTACTAGCAGACGTCCTTGATATGGAAGCCGCCGATTTGTGCGAATAGGACTTTGGACTCGATGGAGCCGTCACTGGGGTAACGAGGTCAATTGATTTGGCTCCGTAAGACCCACTATGCGACGGCTTAGTCCTGGGTGGAAGAGGTCGCGTAGTGGCGGGCGTGTATGGCAGCGAGTAGCTCACTGACGAGGCTGGGGTGTGTGACAGCGAGGGGGCGGCGCTAAAGCTGATTTGTGAAGTAGAGCTACGGCTGTAGCGCGGTCGAACGGTATCGGGGAAGTAGGCAGGCGATTGGAATTTGCGGAGATATTTTGATGCCTCCGAGTCGAAACGCTGACACCGGTCGACGCTGTTATCGTCTGACGAGATGTCGGAGAAGGCACATGACGAGCGTTTTGACTCAGGCTGAGTGGGGGAGCGCTGAGGTACAATGTCGCGAAAGGCAAACTCGTCGAACGTGAAGTTGGCAAATGGCGTAGTTGGCGGTGAGTAATGATCGTATGAATAGGTAAGGCTCTTCTCGGTGTCCTTTTTCTTGCAGCTACGTGTGCATGTCAGTAGGTGGCCTGTGCATCATAGAGTGGGTGTGGGCCATACCTTTCCGAGCAATAGAGCACAGAGTTACTGGGAACAATAATTTGCTTCTCGCAGACGGTGCTGCAACACAAGATTAGTGCGCAGTCGCGAGGACTCGGATGACGACTACATACCAGTAGTTCAAAAAACTCACGGCCATTGAGTCCTCGTCCTCGTCGGATGCAGTCTCTTTGTAATGAACGGCTTTGGAGGCGGCTTTGGTGCCGTGGGACTGGGTCCGCTTTGACAGAGGCCTAGAGGGCCGTGCGTGCGCTGGCTGCGACTTTTTGGATTGATGAGACGGGTGACGAACGTGATGTGTGGCCATGATGGATGCAGAAGAACTTTAAAAGCCTCACTGTGGTAATCGCGCACGGTGCACGGTGCACGATGTCGTTACAGGGCTGGAAGTAGGGCAGCAAAGAAGCGGTGACACAGGCCGCCGAGTACCAGCTGCTGATATGACGGAAGGTTCGTGCGTGGCTTTGTTTAGGATCCTTATCGCTTGGGTTCTGCGCCAACGTCTTAGCCAGGAACACGATAGTGCGTGTCTAGATCGTGACGATGTACAAGAAGGGGCCTTGATCGATCGACGAGGTTGAGAGGCGACACCAAGAAGCCAGGAGAACGAGCTTACTTCAACAGACACGGGACGTGCGACGTCGGAAGGAAGGAAGGAAGGATAGAGTGCAGTATAGTTCCGGGAACGATGCGCGGGTTGGGCTGGGCTGGGGTGCGCGGCGATAAGCAGCAGTTCGTGAGAGACAGCAAAGCCGAGTATTTCCACGGGGCAGGCGGCTTTCAGCGGCAGGATAACAAGCTATGTATCCGAGATCGATAGCAAGAGGAGTGCGGGATTGCGGTCAATAAGTAATTACGAGACCGGCGCCTGCGAGTACCTGAGGGCAGTTCTAGAACATGGTTGACGACGACGGCCTAGATATGCGGTCGGGATATGGTTGCGCGTGTGGGGATGATTCGTGATAGCCATCACGATGGAGCCATTGAGATCATCTAGCACGCCATAGCGGCACCCGCTGCCCGCTGACTCCTCCCTACTACCCCCCACTCGCATCCACCACGGTGCCTTGCTACAACTCAATCTTTGCCGGTGTAGCCACGGCGGGGAAGCCTGGCCAGAGTGCATCCTTTCGCCGTTGCAGCGCTGTGCATGGAAACGTCGCAGCCGTCGTGTTGCAGCGAATTGCGGGCCGAGCATGCACACGGGAAGACCACCAAAGGTCCACGTTCTTGTGCAACTCGGTGCGACTCGCAGCGGGCACCATCACTACACACCACTGCCCACTCGGGTGCGAGCTCTCTCAACACAATGAAGCCATATTGCGTATCTATCACAGCCTTCCGTTCGGTAACAGGGCGCGGCTCCTCTTTCGCAATCGACTCACCACGCCTTAGTCGGGCTTTGAACAGCTTTTTTCGCGGCTTCATCCAGCTCACCAGTCGGCTTGCGAGCCGCTATACATAGAGTGTGTTCCTTGCCGATAATTCGCATCTCTGAAGCACTCCGGTTGAGTGACTTTTGACTGTGCATAACTAGATGCGGGTCCATTGTCTACTCGCGTAACTCTATCCTAGCGGCCGCGCAACAAAAGAGCCAACCGGGTCTTCAGAAGGGCCTTCACCGTCTCGAACATGGTGAATCACCAGAAAATCTCTTAGGCTTCAAAATACACACCTTTCTTTATGCTGCAATCCGCCACCATCAGCGTCTATGTACCTTCATATGTCGGTCAAGAGTTTTCTCTCTCGACACCTTGGTCTCAAACAGAAAACGCATCGTCCATGTATCGCCCTCTAGTGACACGCCACAGTTGGATCGGGGTCGAAGTTGGATAAAACGGCCCTTTCTGTTGGTGTTCAGGCACCGGTGGGCAATCAACCTGCTCGAAGCTGAAACGGTTCCGCCCTACCCCACAAAAGTCAGCAACAACTCGCCCGATGTCGTAACATGGCCAGGAAAACAAGACGTGGAGAGACCCACTACACGCGTTCAGAAAAGTCTCGAACGTTTCTTCGTTGCGAATCGTCGCAGATATCAGAGCTTCGAGCGCTGGGTTCAAGTAGAAGAATTCTCCCAGAGTCGAGACCAATCGCGGAATGACGGACTTGTCGTATGTCTGCGACGTTGTCAGATCCACTTCTCCACGAGACTGCAATGACGATGACTTACGACGTCTGCTCCCACTACAACATCTGGTACGCTCATGCCATAGTCTTCGGGAAAGGTCGCTGCGTCAATGGGATGGCCCCACCTCAGCGCGGCTGTCCGCACTTGAATCCGGGACGTGTCATCGACATCAAGTCCGTTGAGAAAAAGATTTGTTCTGATGGCATCGACAACAGCCTCGTCGCCATCTGTGGCAACCACGCCGGTCGCCCCCAAGTGCTTCGCGCAAAGAATGGACAGCATTCCAGTTCCTGCGCCAAGTTCAAACAATCTCTTCCCGGATACAAACGGTCGGCCAGCCTCGGACGCGAGATGCGACCCGAGTAGCAAGGCGGCTTCCCAAGTTCTGAGACCAGTCGTTCCAGACGAGGAGATGACGGATCGCGCTTCAAGTAGCGTTACCGTACGTTCGTGCGTTACGCTATCATCGATTGAATGATGGGGGTAAGAGTACGTCACGAATGCTTTTTGCTGAGCTGCATCGGCTTCGGAGGGCAGATCAGCAACAAGCAGAATAGTCATCGCTTCCATAATGTCATCTGAGATTTCCTATAATTGGGGCGAAGAGAAAGGTCAGCAAGTGCTGCATGGAATCTTTGCGATTGCAAGATGATTATTATGACTTGATAGATGGCTGGCTACAGCGAAGGCAAAGCCATGGTGAGGAGATAGGAGACCATACATCCTCCTCCGGGTCGGTGATCGACCTCTCGAGTTTTGCGACAAGTTGTTTGAGAATCCTCAACCGATAGCGGCCCGGGGGTAGTGATGTGATATTGGCTGCATCGAACAGATTGTGGAAGAGCCACACTTGTACGTTTGGCGCTTTTAGTATCGCATCATCTGGCCATGTTAATTGGTGTGGTTCGACCAGCTGGAAATACTGGCGTTGCAAGATAAGTAGCTGCGGTAGGTTGGACGGAGCGTCCATGGAAGCGACAATAGTTTTTGTTCGGCACGTAAGCTAGAATATTTCAATGTGTCTCAGCCTCCCTAGTCGTGCAGCCTAGCTGTATGTTCTGATTTTGACGAGGGGAAAGAACATCCAAGCACGCATCTGCTTACGTAACTTTGTAGCGGGGCGCCTTGGCAGACTAAGCGAGGCGCACTGCCGACCGCCGACACGACGCAGCAAATTCGACATCTCCATCTTGCCGCCAGCTAACCACAGGTAATCGACAACAGCAAGATCGATCTCTGTCCAGTACGTCCATTGCAGACCCAAGCCCGCCCTATTGTACTTGTGACTCACGGCTAATTGTCGTGTTGCAGGTCGAATCCTTCCAACATGGCCGACTCTCAAGTTACTCTGCGCACGCGCAAGTTCATCCGCAACCCTCTCCTCGGACGTCGTCAGATGGTCGTGTAAGTGCAGGAAACACCGAGCACACAGTTGCGGGGGATTGAGTCTGACGGGAATACTACAGCGATGTCCTTCACCCCAACCGCGCAAACGTTTCCAAGGACGAACTCCGTGGCAAGCTCGGTGAGCTGTACAAGGCCAAGAAGGACGATGTCTCCGTATTCGGTTTCAAGACACACTTTGGTGGCGGCAAGAGCACCGGCTTCGCTCTTATCTATGACAGCGCCGAGGCCATGAAGAAATTCGAGCCCCGCTACAGGCTAGTACGCTACGGCATGGCCACCAAGGTCGAGAAGGCCAGCAGGCAGCAGCGTACGTCTTCCCTGCGTCTATGCATGGTGTCGCAATTATGGCGATGGATCTGCATGTCGATACATGACACATACTGACTGGACAACAGGCAAGCAGCGCAAGAACAGGATGAAGGAGTTCCGGGGCACAGCCAAGTCCAAGGGCGGTGCGAAGAAGGACAAGAAATAAGCGGGTGCACACTGATGATGACTACGAAGGTCATGGCTGGAGTCGAGTGGCGGTTTCTCTACAACTACTGGTTCGCCTGGTTCTTCCTCACGGTGGATACGGAGTTGCTTCTGCGGGCATCGGCATGTATATCTACGAGCGCCTGTAAAACTCTTGCGGATGGGAACGACAAGACGGATGGCGTTTGAGATCAATTGTCTGCTAACCATCAATGCATATCATGGACTTTACGATCCCCCAACTATTTTGCCACTCACCCGATTTCCACATGGTTTACCCCGGCCACTGCCAATCCTATGTGTCTACGAACGGATACAGATGACCTCTTTGAGACTATCAAACCTGTGTCATGACTTGCGGCCATGAGGAGATGACTTTACTCTATATTTTGCACAGTCACTAGCCACCAGTCAGACCGTTGTCCTCGCTGCCTGCGCATCACCCGTCCTGTTTGATCCAATCCTCGCAAACCAACCATGTTTATCCCTGGCCTTCCTCCACCCCTTACCCCTAATGCCTTCCGTACTGATGATCGCTGTCGCGTTTCCTTCCAAGTCCTTATCCCTGTCCTTTTCCAAACCCTCAAATCCATGAGCAGCATACTATCCAACGTTCGAAGCGACCTGTGTCCCTGAATCTTGTTGCCGAGTTCGCAATTGTTGAAGCTGTGTAGAAGAGCAAGAAGGCCTGATTGGGGGATCCGTGGACAAGTAGGTTTTTGGCGATGTAACAGTAACAGAACACATTGACTAGAAGCAGGGTGTAAATGGTTAGCGTAACAAGGGGGAAGAGATCAAGGCTGCTGGAGCTCTCTTATGTAGAATTGCGTTGAGCTCTATTTCACAGTATCGTCCATGGAGCTATCTTGTCGTATAAAACCACCCTGGCAGCTGGCATTCTCATGCTCAGACATCACTGTCCTTGTCATATGTGTAGAGTGATCTCAGAATGCTCTCCTATCAGCACGCTCAACGAGCGCATCTAAGGGAACATTTCCACAATAAGCTGGTGATTGAAGTTCGACGAAGCTACGTTGTAGTTCTGAGTAGTTGTACATGGTAAAGCAAACGACTGTTATTATACTTTGAATTACTACTCGCCATATTCAATACAGGTGCGCAATCGCTCAAAGGATGCATCGCCAGGTGTACACAGACAGACATGGCACGCGCCATCACTGCTCTCGGGCTTCAAAGTCCTCAGATCTCCTGGGGTATTCTTCTGAGGGCTGTGGCGCAATATTCTCAACTTCGGCTTTAGCTTCTTCCCAAGCCGCCTTGTTTCGTTTCGCCCAATCGATATGGCATTGAGCGAACTCCATCTGCAGTTGTTCTTAGCGGCTTTCAAGAGCACTAGGTAAAGACCGAGACATACCATGTAACGCCGTAAATCGTCCTCCTTTTCGCTCTGGAATCGTCGCAGGTCCTTCATCACACCCGCACTTGCGTCTTTGGTGTCTTTCTCGGCCACAGTCAGCGCTTGTTCGAGCTGCGTAATGGTCAGTATCTCCAAGTGTCTTCACAAATGACATATTAAGCCTACCTGTACCATACTATCCCGTGTCTTGCCGATCTGATCTCTTCGAGTCTTTTCAGGATCTACGTCTGCCATACCCCTGAAAGCATGTGTAATGGACCCAAACAGCTTGTTGGTGACGAAATTCCCACTTGCAGTCTTCTTGTGCGGGCTACTAGGCGGTGACTGATTATCAGGTGCGCCCTGTGCGCTGGATGGTGTGTCGCCATGTGTAGGTGGGAAGTCGGAATCAATCGACGCCCTATCCTCGTCCGATCTACGTGGTTGCTCCGCCTCGCCGATGCTTCGGTGTGAGCTGTTGGAAGCAGCGCGACTTCGGGCAGGTTGATGGCCGACGCCACTCAGATGTTGTTCTAATCGTTTCGACTCTGCTTCACTGCGTTCGAGGGATTCGAGTAGATTGCGCTTCTTCTCAAGTTCGTCCTTTGTCATGTCCTCCTGTATCCGCTTGAGCACTCGATATCTCAAGGTAGAACGTACGATGCCGGCAAATTGCGCGCTCTCACGCATAGGCTCCGAGAAGCCTGCGCTGAGAGACGAAGAGAGTTCGGTCGTCGCAATGTACGTAGAGTCGACAGCTTGTCCCGTCTTTTCAATGGCTGCAGCGAGAGACTGCGTCTGTTCAGATAGCGAAAAGGCATTGAATCGAGCGCCAAGATCTGCCATGTCCTCTCCCCAATTGCCCAGGTGCATGAGCAGTCGTCTGTTGACCTTCTCCATTGGTCCTTGCAGCAGGTGTTCTAGGTCTTTGGACGAGTTCTCGAAGCTAACAAAGTATGGATCCAACTCCTCTTCCGACATATTGCGCGTCTCAGGAGGGAAACGACCGAAAATGGCAGGACCCGGTGTCGTATGCGCGGCTGCTGAAGGTAGGGCTGCGTTGTTGGCTGGTGAGACAGGAGTACCCGAGCTAGATATGGTACCGCCCGACTTCAATTTGGCGGAAGACGAGGGGACTGGAAGGTAGCTGTGGGCTTGGGAAGGGTTCGCGGCATCGAGTGGAGGTGCTTTGAGGATCTGTTTGGGGATATTGGAAACAGGCGGGCTGTTGAGTACGTCTGCCTACAGGAGCAAGTCAGTTGAAGGGGTTGGTATCTACAAGAGAACGAAGCCTACCCAACTTGTGTAGGGATCGAGGAACCGCCAGAAGACGCCATCTTGTAGTATATCCTGCATCTTCCTACACCTGTTAAGGAAGACAGCCAGCATGCGCTTCCGCAGCTCTATTATGCCGGCATCCTCCTTCGCCTTTGTCGGCTTGGCGGCGTAGTCGGCCATGGTATGCTTCTCGGGGATGGGAGGTACGATGAGCGTGGGGTGAAGTCTGACCAGTTCGGCGCGCAGGGATGCAAATTCAGAGTATCGGCGCTTGACTTCGAGGCCCTGTCCATGTGTCAGCTGCGCGGCTCCCCAGCAGCCTGGCTAACATACACCGCAGTTGATGGTGTACTGGATGTAGTTCACACCGTCCTTGCCCGCGCTCGTGATCAAGACGAGTTGCTCGGGGTGCTCGTACAGCCATTGTTCCACGCGCGCATCGTACCCGCCCTTCTTAGGCGCCTTTGGGTCTGCGTGGTCTTGGTCCTGCTCGTTGTAGTCGACGTCGCTCATGTCGCGCTGAGAGACATACTCGGGCGACTCTTGTGCGGGCGACGACGCCTCCGAGGGCGGCGTCGCGGGGCGGTACGGCACTTGGTCATGTCAGCTAGTGATGCTGGCGGTTGCTTCAGACAGTAGGTAGAAGCCTTACGGGCAGCGGGCGACGCTAGCCCGGGAATATCGGACGTGTTGGAGTCATGGCGGGCAAAGGATCCATACGGATTGTTGTCCTCGTCGTCCCACATGTCGGCGGCGGTGGTGGTGGTGGTGGTGGTGGTGTAGTTGTCGCGCTCACTGGGCGGAACAATGGTAGCGCCTGTTGGTACAACGAGCAGAGTCAGGCAGCACCAAGCGTCGACGTTGAGATGTTTGCCTTGGACATGGTGAAGCTCCCACGCTCTCCCGGCAGTGGCAGTGACGTTGCGCGTGGTCCAAGCTTGTCGACCAGCCACACCTCCGGCTGCATGCACGACGCCCCGCCACGTCACGTTACACTTGCTTACTCACAGCTATGTCATGGAATTAACAGACAACCCCTTTGCTATCCGCAGCGCCGTGCTGCGTCTCATGCACTTCTTCGCCTTCCCGTACGCCCGTGATAGTTCCTACATTCTCGTCGTCGAAGAAACCTTCGTTCGCTGCCAACGCTTCAAACCCCAGCTCTCCCCCTGCCCCTCGAGGCACCATTTTCACCGGCCAGATGAGGCACAAGCTGTAATAAACCAAGCCGCCCATGAACAGAGATAGTAGAAAGCCAAGCTTGTACATATTCTTGCTAGCCTCGGCGACAGAATCAGCATCCAAAGACCCCGCGACGCCATGGACCGTGAAGGCAACCCCAGCTGTCCACGCAGCCAGCATGCGCATATTCCAGCCTTTGCAGTACGAGTACGGGCTTTCGGATGCAGTCGTGTACAATGAGGGAACATGCAAGTTACCCTTTCGAACGAGCCAGTAGTCGACAATCATGCACGCGCAGATCGGCATCAGAAATACAGTGTAACTTCCGAGGAACGTCAAGAACGCAGTCGCCGAGGCGATAATCTTCCATGGAACAAGTAAGGGTGCCAGAATCGCGCAGAGTACCTGGCCCCGCACAATGGTCAACCATCGAGGGAAGATTCCTGTAAGATCGGCACCAACGGGAAGCGAGTTGCTTCCTGCATTGGTGACAAGTACAGCGAGCATCATACCGAAAGACGCAAATACTATCCCTGCTCTAGCTCCAGCAGTCCAATATTGATCCAAGATGGCGTCGTAGAGATCCCATACGTTCCAATAGCTTTGGCCGAGGACTTGTGTAGCGGCTGCAGTCGTTGCGGTACTCAGGAACATGACCAGTACTTTACTGGTAAGAATACCGAAGCCCTGGCTCCATGTCACATCGCCGTAGGAATGTCCGTATCGCGCTATATCAGGCTGATTGATAAGCACTGGCGCCAGAGCGCCCATAACGGAATTGATGGCTTGTATCATGGGCCAGATCAGAGCTGAGCCCGAGAGCTGAGTCTGCTTGGTCGTGTACGTAAAACTTCCAATTTTGCCCCCATTGGCACTGATTACCCAAGCGAGCACCCCGAAGAGTGCAATCGTTGTATAGACAGCTTTGACAACAAAGAGGTGTCGAAGTACCGTGGGGTGAATGAACATGACTGGTAGTTGCGCCTAAAGATGAGTTTTCGAAGTCAGTATTTGTCTCACATACAGTTCGTACATGGATATCACTAACCTATTAATTTTAGCATACTCAGTCGGCCTTGGACTTGAACGAGAGAAAGGTGGACATTACCTACCATCCAAAACAAGAAGAAGCTCAGCAAATCTCTACTCGTGATCCCCGCACTCTCTGGGAGGCGGTTTGGTATATCATTGTAACCCTTTCCAAATATACCCCGCATGAACACCGACGTGATACGGCCTCCATAGTAGGTCTGCGTCGCAAAATAAATGATTGCAACCACAGCTCGTACGACGATGTACAAACTCGCTCCCCTGACGCCAGCAGCTGCGCGGACATACACAGGGAAGCCAAGAAAGTACTTGACAGCGCCGCGACTATTGAGCACAACCAGAACGGTGAGAATGGCGGAGCCGATGATAGCAGCAATCATGCCGTGCCACCAGAGTAAACCGATTGAGACAAGAGATGCGCCGAGGTTGTACGAGGATGGGCTGAATGTCATGGTCAGATAGTATGCGAAGTAATGTTGCCAGCGCCATCTCCGATCTTCTGCATTGTGTTAACTTTTGGAGATGCTGAAAGATGCATTTCAAGGCTTACCAGGAGGACTGGGAAGGAGGTCTTTGTTATAACGCACTTCGCCTTGATCGCTGGTATCTTGCGCTATGACTTTGAGAGTTTTTGGAGAACTCAAAACATCCTTGCCTTGTTGCAAAATGCGAGACATGACCGCGCATGAATACTTACGCCTGAGCAAATACCAATTCGAGCCTCGGTTGTTCGGCGGGAGGTGATTGCCAGGCTATAAACATCTTGATCGCCTCTACAAATTGCGCATCTCGTCATTGTGGCAGACAAATATTCCTATCAACCATCTATCTATGCAAGGTTTCGCAATGCTGGGAAAACGGCAGATCTTCGATGATAAGACGATAACGCGTCGGGAGGAAAGAAGCCGACGGGCAAAAAGATGAAGAATGAGGCTAGTGCGTTGACCTGTCCAAAAAGGTGATAGTGTACTTGAGTAAAGACTCCAGGGCTCCACAGGTTTTCACGGGCACGGGCATATCCAGCGAATGCGACAGGTTCTCTGCATCTGGGATTTCGATTCTAGCGACTGCATGTGTCCTTTAAGACCATGCGGCGTCCCCACGACTAATTTGCCAGGTTGCCCAGGTGGCACGTGTAGTAAGAAATCGGCGCACCCAAATGCATGATCTGGGTACGTTTGGAGGGCTGTTATACCTTCTAGCCCATGATCCGCGTGGCCAAATAATCATTTCGATCCAGATCCATAGGTACGAAGAGATCTATGAACAACCAGTCTTCGACCCAGACTTATAAGGAAATGTCTCGCGATAGTGTTTCGCAATGTCCCTGCGTGTCGCAACCCACACATGTTCCTTCCTTGAAATATAGTTCATGAAGTTTCTCAGACTCTCCGACCTTCCTGGCTTACCAGCTATTCTAGAATGCAAAGGGATGGTCATCATCTTACCGCCTTCTCTGTATAAGCAGTCAAACGTATCCTTGAGATACTGCTCGTACACTGCACCTGCTGAGCTTACGAAACCAGGGAGCATGTGAAACTTTCCGTCGTTGCCTAAATCATGTTACTAGATCAAATCGGCCATGTTGTCATGTAGAGATGCGGCTTACAATCGTAGTTGTACGGCATCATCAACAGGCCCTCTTTCTCCGATTCAGGCAGTTGCTTCTCCCAGGGAAGATCGATCCAATATGGCGAGTCTTCATTATAGACTTCTGATGTGTAGAGCATTTTGTGACCCATTTCTTTCCACATGATTGGGAGCAGGCTGGCTGTATTTGGCGTGCCTCTGCCGAAGTATGCTCCTACCGGAAATTCGCCTGTATGCGCGTCAGTATTGAACAAGACGTTTGGCATCGGGTAGGACGCACCAGTTGCCGCTTCCAAGGCTTTGCATGTCTTCTTAATATACGCCTTATCGTCTTCAAGTGAATAGTCCCATATGTCTAGCCATCTATACCCATGAGCCCCAATTTCATGGCCGTCTCTTACGCAAGCTTTTGCAAACGTAGGATTTCTCTCCATGGCCACTGCAATGGCCCACAGGGTCATGTTCCAGCCGAATTCCTTCATAAGGCGTAGTATCCGCCAAGCGCCGCACCTGCTACCATATTCGTAGTCTTGCTGCAGAGGTAGACGTACGAAGTCAGTGTATGTCTCAAATGCAGTTCGTACAGCCAGAACTTACCTCGCCGTTCAAATGGCGCTGTTCCCTGCCACCGCCCGAAGGGCCTTTCTCCCACAGGTAGGGTTCGCTAATGCCATCGCCATCCATGGGGTTTCTCTCGCCACCTTCTTCATAGTTAAGTACAAAGGAAACTGCTATGCGGGCGCCGTTTGGCCATTGTGCGTCATGACCATCTTCGCCAAAACCTATAATAGTGATCAGTATGAGGAGAACTGCAGATTGTGTGGTAGCGCACCTTCAAAGTCTCTGGGGAGTTGAAGAGACTCTTCGACGTGAACCATGACAGACAGATATTCGATATCACGGTCACGAACACAATACAAGAGGAAGAGTAAACGTAGATTCAACGCATGCTACCTGCGTAGGATTTTAGAGCGGTGTCAATACGTACAAGTCGCAAGGCTATCCACAGTTGAGCCAGCCAGGAACGACTCAACAATCTTTTGACTGCACGTCAAGTCCGTTCCTTTTCACCTGTCAATTTCTTATCAGCAGTTTCTTACCAATCACAACACAGAAAAGTTATCAGGTACAAGGCGCGCTGTTCGTTGTTTGCTGATCGGAAGTGACTCTCCCGACGATCGACCTCGGGAATAAGCGTTCCGCCTGCCCCGCTTTACTGTTATCTTTCCTTCGAGGCTTCCACTACACAATCTTGCAAGCATTCAGACGGCTGGACATATCGGCAAGTACGTATCAGTGGCTGGTAGGCTACGAATGAACATTTGTCACAAGGTGTTAAAGTCATGGCAGATCAACAAGTGCCGCTGTGGGTCTGCACCAGGCCTGCCAGTATGAATAACCGAGTGCCCCTGGCAATTCAGTGTATGACGAACATGTAGCATCGGCAAACGATCACGATCTAATTACTTGAAAGCGTTGCGGTTTCACCAGAGATGTCGGTTTTCTCGCTAGATACCAGCCATGACAACCCTGTCACTACAGAAACTCTCGAGGCGCTATGCTCTCAGCTTGGGGTCAGCATCGATGAGAAAGAAAAACAGGACTATCGACGCTTACTTGCCGCATTTCACGATGCAAGTGAACTACTAATGGCTATGGACGGTAGGACATAGTGGTTCACGTCGCGAGTCATTACGGAAGCTGACATTGATGTATAGACTATGTCCCCCCAGTCGATGAGGAACGCTTTGCCAGAGAAGATGTTCATTTCCCGCAAGCATCTGAGAATTCTCATGGTGCATGGGCGTGGAAGTGCAGAATCGTTGACAAGGAAGCTAAGAGCGACGGTAAACTTTACGGCAAAACGTTCGCTTTGAAGGACAACATTGCCGTCAAGGGCGTACCAATGCTACTGGGTACGAAC